TTTACTGTCAACATTTTTAGATGTTTTAATACCCCTAATAAGAAGTTCGTAATCTAATTCTACTTGTCGTAAATGATTAACTTTAAAAGATTCTTTCTCCATTGTAATTCAGCTATATGAAATACTAAAGACTAAATGATTCAGAAAAACTTACTAATTTTAACAAAAAGCTGTTATGATTCGGCGCAAACTATCAGAAAGAAAATATGTTCAATGTCAAAACCAAAAAAGATTCAAGTATTCGAAACAAATTCCAAAATTTTATGAAATACTAACAGTGCTACCCTGTATACTGAAATTATGTCCACTCTGTATATTCAAAATATAACCATACCTGTATATTTAAATCAAAATCGAAACGTCAATAAAAAATGTAGTCAGAAATACGTATTAAGTTATTTATCTGGGTTTTAAATAGATAAACAAACACCCTCAAGAATTTATAAAACAAAAAAATTGCTGTTGAACTGAAATTATTAGAATTTAATTACAGAAATAATGAAAATAAAATTTCAAAACTATAGTCTTTGCCTTATAGAAAATTTATCTGAGCCTAACAAAAATTATTTTACAAAGTCTACCAAATAAGTGAAGCAAATTAAATTAAATTGAGCCAATTAAACTAAGTCGAGCCAATTAAACCAAGTAAAGCCCCACGTGACAGGGCGTCATATTCTTTATTCTTCTATTTGTGTGACGACTTTTTCTGTCATCACTCAAACAGAAAGAAAAAGGTATCCGTTGCTCAGGGTTAGAGGAGAGCTGGGTTCGTAGGTAAGGCTTGTGACCTGTGGTGACTTAATAATGTTGTTAAATAATAAAATAAAAGTAATAATGTATAGGCTGCAAAGATTCTAAAATTGATGTTAAGTATTCAAATAGTAATGGTCAAAGACAGTAAAAAGGCGCCACTTACTTTGGGTATGAAAAGGTAAAGTAAGAAACCAGTAAGAAAATTTGATCATGAAATAGCTAAAATAAAATAATCAACAGCAATAAGGGTCTATTATGTTCATCAAGAATAAAAGTCAGATATAACTATCCTACGTTGAACATTTATTTAAAAACGAACACAATTATCAATCAGTTTAAACCCAGTTTCAATTATCCCAATGAAATCGTTAGTTGCTTTAAGTAAACTCAAATTTAGTTAAAGTTCTCTTCAGTATACTATACTACGTAATATATAAACAGGTGAAATTTATGTAAGTACCAATACGATGATGTTTCGAAACAAATCGTGTACAATAACCTTCAAAAATGAATCCGTGTTAGCGATTCTCACATAAAAGATCATACTGAAGTAAAACGTACCGTTAAGGACAAAGCATGACTTATAATGTTAACTAAAAGGTAAATTTTGACTATAATATATGGAATAAATGACAACAATTCACAGAGATATTCAAAATATTATCTCAAAGTAAAAAAAATTTAGGGAATACCTTGTGTGTTGAACTTAGAACTTATCTGTATTTTTTTTTTAATTTATGACGTAGTGAACAGATAGGCAGGCAGTCTCCAGACTAACGGAAGTGGATGTAGACTCTTCGATAGTAGCAGGAGTCTTCGATATCAGTAGAATAAATGTAGAGTCATAAATACTGTCTCAAAAGTGGTTACTCATATGCCAATTACTTATACGTCAATTTCTTATACGCCAGTTATCTATAAAAAAAAACTCCCAGAACAGTCACCGAATACCAAAAAAATAACTTACGGTCTGAAAATCAGCTGTACACCTTCCAAAATATAGCCAAACTATATGCTGATCCAAACCAGTAATGCACAATCAAACATTATCAAAATAAATAAAAAACGGGAATAGTGTGATCTTATTCCAGGAAAAGGCCAAAAAACACGAACTAGGCTCTGAACAGTATATTCTTTACAGGATTTCAAATCTCCACTTTTGGATACCTGTGCCTTTACTGTTAGGAAAAGTGTTTCAGAAAGCCCTTTTTCTCTGAGATTCGTCGGACGCTGAACCACGCGTCTTTTTCTGATCTCAATCTCTCGGAAAAAACCTCCTTCCTCCTCTTCGCAAAACGGAAGTCTTCGAATTGACAGGTCATATGACCAAAGGCAATTAAGTGAACTCTATCGTCTATACTGAATGAAATTTGTTTTTATGGAAAGGAGCCGCTACCTGTACTGAATGAAGTTTAACATCTAGCGAATAGATGGCGCCAGCAATATTAAAATTTGGAATTTTATAAAAAGAAAAATAAAACGCTACAAATTAAGCCAATATAATATAATTTTATACTGTACAAGTATTTATTTACGTTTTGTCATCGTAGTTGCCATTCATTCAGAATAGTGGATTTTAAATGTTCGATAGTCGGATGGCTTAATTCTATATAGACTGGTGGTAGCAAGGCGGCTGCGGCTTCAAGAATAAAGTGCCTGAGAAAGCCCACCATGATGAGGCGAAACGTCGCATAATAAAAACAAAAATTTCCATTTTCAATTAATAAAGAAAACCTCATACCCAAGAAAGGAAAAAAAATATATATATATATGGATATAATTCTAAAGGTTTAAGAAAAAGAAAAAAAAATAAACTATTATTATTTATGTGTATAATATTATTATTTATGTGTATAATAATACTGTATGATCGAAAAAACACGGCGTCCAGTTGGCTTGGAAATGAACATCTCGATGACATTCTCCATATCATTTTACATATAAAATGACAGCAATCTTCATTTCATAGGCATCGCTGACGCCGTTTTTTATTCGATCAAATTGTACTTACGGGTATAATATTTATTTAATGGTTCCTGTTTTAGTTGCTGGTGTTCATATTTTGGTTTTTTATTGTGTTGTTGTTCTACAAAATGTTAATATTTATGTGTATAACATTACTCTTTCTGTGTATAATAATATACTTATGTGTATAATATTCATTTAATGGTGCCCTTCTTGCTTGTTGCTGTTGTTGCAATTCAGAATTTAAATTAACCTGAGGCAGTAGGTAGAGCTTCATCCTCCAATATTTTCCTATGTAAATACTAAAGTGGACAGTATTTCTGATAACAATTTTATCACAAACTTTAACATCTTGTTCTTTAAAATGAAACTGCCATACGTTATCTGTAGATTTCAAAGCAATATCTAAATGCTGTTGACCATCACTGTAATCTAATTCTTGTCTGAAAATCAATACCTAATATTATCCTGATGATTTTGATTTTTGATAGATTATTAAAATACAGCACTTACAATTAACTATATTTCTTGAAAGTACCTACAATTTTATGTATTTCCTACTTTAACTTGTTTAAAAAAATGCCAACAATTTGTGCATGTCTGTCAAACTTTAAAATCATTAAAAATAAATTTTATTTAGGTTGTAACTTTATAAAAAGGATTGTAAAAATATACTTTGTAACATATATGTTAATAATCTTACGAAAAATGTTTACTACACTTTTGATTGACTCTAATTTTTACATATAATACAAATAATACAATACTGAATTATATTATGTATTTTACATACCGTAGGCTTTGCCTTTGCTCTTTATTTTTCCATCAGCTATTCAATCAACTTCGCACCACACACACTTTAACCATTGTTAAATAATAAATAAAGCACAAAATATTGATAAACAATAATTATTTTATATTCAAAAACTCTGTCTGAAAAATAAAAACAAATTTTTTTTGGGTAATGTTTGGTTATATTTATTTTTATTCTCTTATCTATGGTTACTTTTCATTTTTTAGATTCATGCGTTTTTAGCGCCACTATGGTTATTTGGCGAACCCTTATTCTTCCCATTTTGTGACCACTTTTTCAATAAAAGTCCCGTAAGAGTTATTTCTCCTTACCTCTACACTCTAGTAGTTCAAAATTTCCAATTATATTCTGATTATTAAAGTCCCTACTGATTATGATATTGTCGCGCCATCTAGTATTTTATTTGTGCAATTTTAGCTCTCTCATTTCGAGTATTTTTTTGTTGCGTAGCTAGATATTCTGTGCCTGTAGCTTCGAAATGGCAGCTGATTCATATTTTGCAGCAAGATTTAAATTGCCATTTCTAAAAGCAGGATTTGCAACCGTGGCCAAAAACAAAGTGAGGTTAAAACGCAGAGAGGCGCCTTGACATATAACAAGGATATTGACAGCGCGCGCCTCCACAGAACAGTGAAACGATAGCAGGGTTGGCGACTAGGGAACGTAAAAATTACGCCAAGCGTGCCAAATAAATTATCAGGCCTGAACGATACGGAATCCGGTGATGATAGGCCAGACATCATATATTATATATAAAAAAGACATGTAACGAACTAAAAACGTTACAGCAATGCGAATGGTAACTGCGGATGTGATTTTGTCGATGCGGCGGCTTTGTATGATCGAAAATCGCAGTGTTGGGAGCTGCGATCGCAATTCGCAGTTGCGAATTACGGCGCGCGGCGCGGCGTCCAGCGTGTCGGTGCCGATGCCATAACATGCCAGTGCGATCGAAAATCGCAGCGGTGGGAGCTGCGATCGGAACTCGCAGTGACAAATCCCAACTGATGTAATATTGGTAGCCTGAAAATCGAAAGTCGGCAGATAGATGTTTCAATCGCAACTCGCAGTTTACTATGAAAAAGGATCGCAGGTTGCGATTGCATTGTTGGCAAAGTGTAGAGATCGACCTCGCCAAAATTACTATCGATAGTCATTCCCCGGCCATCTTTGACGCCGTTTTTTTTATCATACGGTAGTATGTGCCTCTTAAGATTACAGTTGAAGGTTGGAACCTTTGGTGTTAGAATTGTCGAGTCAAAATAATACATTAATTCACCTCAATACACAGTTAATTACACAGTCATAGTTTTAATCATCTGCTGATGATGCTAAACTATGTTAGCATCGTCCAGTGCAAAGTAAAGTGTTTTGGTGTATTGTGGAGAATTAGTGTTTTATTTTGCAGTATATCACTCTGCTAAATTGATTGTTACTAACACTTTTTATGAATATTCTTTTGTTCCAGGCGGATTTGCCAGAACAGCTGAAGTAATTAGAAAATTCAGAAGAGCCGCTGATGCAGGTGAATCCCCGCCTGTATTATTTTTAAATGCTGGAGACACTTTTATTGGAACGTCTTGGTTCAGTCTGTTTACAACGAATATATCGGCTGCTTTTATGAATACCCTCAAACCAGATGCCGTGGTAAGAAAAAAACGATTATTGGAATTATTAAAACTAAAAATATACATAAAAATTTCGTTTGTAAAACGAAAGTTTTTCCAATAAGTTTTCAAGTAAAAAGCTCTTTCTAATTTAAAAAGCTCTTTCAAATTGGCATACAGAAATATACGCCATTCGGTGAATATGAAAGTTTAAATTAAATAACTTATTGTTTATATGTATTGTCTATTTTCATACGTATATATTTCATCGTATTAGTTATACCAAACTAAATTTAGGTTAGTCTGTGCTTATACTAACAACTGATAAATTGACATGAGATCAAAAAAGCAGTGCTGGCATACACATTTTGGAAGCCTAAACTAAAAAGAGTTTACTAGTAACAAAGAGTAAAGTCTGTACGCTGACGAGTATTCGACACGGATCAAAAGATGGTCACGCAAAGCGTTTTCTTTCATGAGCTTTTCTGTGACTGAAAAGCCCGATACGTGATGTTATTTGCCTACCGCACTCCGGACATTCAAAAATCTCTTTGCTTTGTTGCCTCTTTACTTTTTGGTTGTCGCTGTTAACTGAGTTTACAGTTCTTCTCCATTGAGTTCTATTGTGAACTGCTTCTTTCCAATGATTCTGCATGTTAATCCCCTTTAAGTTTTCGTGGAAAATGTCCTTGTACCTTTTGAATTGTCCACCCGGCCTCCTCTTACCGTCAACAAGCTCACCGTAAAGCAAAGTTTTTGGCATGCGGTTTTCTTGCATTCTGCATACGTGACCAGCCCATCTTAAGCGGGATTTTGTAACCATGACTTCAATACTCTCGCAGTTAGCTTTTTCAAGGACCGAAACGTTTGAGACATGATAGAACCACCGGATTCTTAAGAGATGTCTAAGGTGTCTCTGTTGCAACTTGTTTAATGCGTTCATGTGTCGGCGGTACGGCACCCAGGTTTCGGCACCCAGCGGTACGGCACCCAGGATTATAATTGCTCGGTACACTGCAAGTTTCGTTTTTGTACTCAAGTCATGATTGTAGAAAACTCTGTCTTTTAATTTCCAGAATGCTCTTGAGGCACTGCTAATCCTGTGCTGAATTTCATAGTCGATATTGGCCTTTTCCGAAATCAAACTGCCGAGGTAATTAAATTCCGCTACATATTCCAATAGTTCTTCTCCGATTTTTATAGCATTGTTATGATCTTCTGGGGGAATGCACATGATTTTGGTTTTGTCGATGTTTAGCTTAAGGCCCAAAGCCTCGTATGCCAAGGTATATGTGTTCAACATTTCTTGTAATTGTTGTAACGTCTTTGCAACTAGAGCGCAGTCATCAGCGTATTGAAGTTCTGTGATGAATTTTGTACGTGTTTTTGCCGTGAGTCTTTTTATGTTGAACAGACCGCCGTCATATCTGTATCTAATGCACAATCCTCTCTTCTGCAGTTTGCTGTCCACTATAATGGAGAGCGCTTCCATGAATATGTTGAATAGGAGAGGTGGTAAGAGACATCCCTGCCTAACTCCTGTATTTGTCAGGAAGGGATCGCTCAGTGATCCATGATGTGACACTCTTGACTGGTTGTTGTTATGGAAGCTTTTACACACTGTAAGAAATTTGTTGGGTCCACCGAACTTTTTCATAATTGCTTAAAGTGTATCTCTGTTCACAGAGTCGAAGACTTTTGTTAGATCGATGAATGCAACATAAAGTTTAGACTGCTGCTCTTTACTTTTTCTTGTAGTTGGCGGATGGAAAATATGGAATCGAGGGTGCCGCGGTTAGTGCGAAACCCGTCTGCAATTCTGGAAGGATTTTTTCTATATGTGGGTGCAGGCGATTTGACATAATTTTTGTAAGAATTTTTCCTCCGTTAGCCAATAGTAAAATTCCCGAGTAATTTCCGCAGTCTGATGCACTTCCTTTGTTCTTAAATATATTAACTATATTCGCGTTGCAAAAGTCCTGAGGTACCTCTCCGCTTTCCCATATGACATCGAAGAGAGCCTTAAGATGACCAATAAGGTCTTTACTTGTACACTTATAGATTTCCGCCGGGATCGCGTCACAGCCAGCTGATTTGTTGTTTTTAAGCTGTTTTATGGATGCCATTATTTCCTGTTCTGTTATTGGAGTATCTAATACATCGAAGGCTGTTATACTGAGGTATTGTGTTTAGTGCTTCCATATTGGGGTTGTTTTCTTGGTTAAGGATATGGCTGTAATGCTCTTTCCAGCGGTTTCTAATTTGCTCTTCCTCTTTTAGAAGTTCGTCATTTTGTGCCATGATTGGGCAGCTTGCCTTCTTGGTTGGGCCGTATACTTCTTTTACAGCCTCGAAGAATTTACAATAATCGTGATGCGTGGCGTACTCTTGAATCTGATTAGCCTTTTGTGACCACCAATCATCCTTTAATTGGCGCAGATTTCTTCGAAACGTTTTGTTGGCTGCTTTAAAGTGTCTCCAAAAAATCTAAAAGTCTCTAGTGACTGCTTGATGTGCTCTATGCTTTTGTTCCAATAAGGTCTGTATATGTGGTTGATTTTCGTTAAACCAGTCTGTGGGTTGTTTCTTTTTGGTGGACTTTCCCAGTACTGCTTCGCTAGTTTTATGAATCGCATCTTACGATTCAGGAAAGATGATACAAAATACAATTTATGTGTGCATTAAAATGACAGTGCTGTCTAACTGTCACAGTCATGTCTGCTCTCGTTGGGCAGACTATAGATAATACCAATCACTTTGGATAATACTTGAGTATAGTGAGTGGAATATTTAATTGTTTATAATTATTGTAGGCTAGGCAGTATAGGAACACCGCAATTCTTTCACACTTTTAATTTTATCACTTTTATTTGCAACACAAAATTAATTTAAAAATCGGATGACCGTTTTGTCCCAATATTAGCTGTCTGAGTGTCATGTAGTATTAATTATAACTGGCTATTTAAATTAGATAATCTATTACGTATTTTCTTTTACTCACTGTAGAATCGCCGGGTCCTAGCCGGGTCCAGACCAAGGCGACAAAAATTAAACACGATTTTCGGACAAAAACAAGACAAACTTGCGACAAAAAATGGGGAATTCTGACAAGACAAATTGTCCACACCGCAAGGACAAAAGTATAACAAAGTCAAAAGTTTAGTTGTTGCGAATGAATTTTATTAAGCATGTGTGATTTCACAGGTCTCCCTACTGTTGGCAGCACACGCCATCCACACTGCGCCGACAACTTGGCGTAAAGTATACGAACATAAAGGCGGATTCTCACGACTGGCGTACTTGACAAACATTTGTTTATTGGAATATACTTGCCATGTCGTGAGAACGGGTTCCTTGGTCACTTGTCGCGTCCCCACTCTCTGTCGGTAAACATAGCCGAGTCAAACGATTAATCGTACATTTGCCAAGTATACTTGGCCAGCCTGGGCCAGCCTTGTTTACACTTGCCGACGCACAAAAAAAACGACTGAGCAAATAATGTTAAGGCGGATTCTCACGACTGGCGTACTTGACAAACATTTGTTATTGGAATATACTTGCCATGTCGTGAGAACGGGTTCCTTGGTCACTTGTCGCGTCCCCACTCTTTGTCGGTAAATATAGCCCTAGTCAAACGATTAATCGTACACTTGCCAAGTACACTTGGCCAGCCTGGGCCAGCCTTGTTTACACTTGCCGAGGCGCAAAAAAACGACTGCGCAAATAATGTTGCGCAGCAATACTGTTATAGCGTATGTCCGATTTATTTCCGGATCGTAGTGTTTTTCGAGTTAATTGCGGATAATTTAAAACGTTAAAACAATTATAGATTACGTAATATCAAATTTACATTAATAACTTCAATATTGGCGACATGCCTGAATCGTTTTCACAGCAATAAATGGAGTGGACAAATGAAGACTACACGGGAAAAACCTGATATGTCACATTTTCATAGAAATTAAGATAGCGATACAACTTTATAGACAAATGTTAAGGTTATTCGAAAAAAGAAAGCCATAATACGCTTAGTCCCAGAGATATTACAGCTTGTTTATTTTGCCGTACAAAGGAAAAACCAAAGTAGTCCACGCGAAAATGGCAAAAACCAGAGATGTACTTACGCATGGGCGACCAGCATGCATCTTGCAATTAGTATTATATTATTAAAACAAGGGATATTACAGAAAATAAACGTCGAAAATTAAAAACACAAACAAATTTATTCCGCTCGAAACTTGCCGAAGCTTACAATAAACAACAATAATCTCGACTGACCGAAAAACATATATGAATCAACAAATCTTTCAAAAACATCATCTGACACGATCGATAGAAAAATATTATCATTATGTAACAATCTTAAAGGTATACACATACGTAATTAATTTATGTACGTATATATGGAATATATTTTTTTCGTTATCAATATGTTATAAATTTATGTATTGGAATAAAAACCTACTTAAATACTAATTTTCAACAAAAAAAATAATATGTAGTTTAGATTTAGGTTTTATACAACGTTTAATTAATTGAACATCTCTGGTTTTCCCCTGTTTTGTTTTGCATTTTGACTATTTTTTTAGATTAACTATTTAGATTTTTATTTCAATATTTCAGAATATGGCGATAATTCGCAGTATTAATAATTCAGAATTGGTAGTAATATAATTATTTTTCTAATTATTCAACCGAAAATAACATATTTCTTTAAAAACACTAAATTGCATTTTTCTCGGCTCGAATTAAAATGGACAAAACTGGGTTTTCCCGTGTAGTCTTCAAATGATGTTGTTTTGGAATTTAGGGATTTATACGAAAATGAGCCCTTCATATGGATGGCCAAACATAAAGAACATAGAAATCGTATTGCAGTGTACAGTAAAAGAACTTAAAAAGAATCACTAGCAACGACAATTTCGGGACGACCAGTATCCATCGATGCGACTATACTGTTTACTTGCCAAGGATTGTAGGGGTACTTGGCAAATACGCAAATATTGGCGTACTTGCCAAGTACACTTGCCAATGTAGTACAAAGTGGGGACTGGTGGGGATACTTGCCAAGTACGCAAATATTGGCGTACTTGTCAAGTACGCCAGTCGTGAGAATCCGCCTTG